GGCCTTTTAGCAAGTACCTAGCCTGTTAGTATGGTAAGTTACAACGTCAGATCAGTGTATGCTTATCTGCTATTGTATGTCCCCGATCTAATACCGTCAAGACTGTGAGCTCGTAGCTAAATGGTTAGGACGTTCGCCCTGACCGGAGAGATCGCAAGTTCGAAAATCGAGAGTGGCGGCAATTTCCGCTGCTACACTTGAGTAGAGTATATTCAGCTGACGACGCCTAATGAGGCAGAAATGGCCATTCTGGATTCTCTGTCTTACGGTAATATGTCCTAAAAATAACAAAAATGTTATTGCAATTTAGTAAGTAACATTACAATTAGCCATGTGGCAAGGTTCGCGGGATCCCGAAAACACTGTGCCCTGAATCTGATCGGTGTACGCCTATCTTCTAATATACATATGTATGGGTTATTTGTTGCCTTCTTTTCTATTTCAGTTGATCAAGCGCCATCTAAGTCTGCTCCACTACCTGCTAACTGTGGCTGACTTGCACCTATCGCTCGATCGGGCTCAGTGCATCTGGGAGACCCTGACAAACGACTCACATGATTCTGCCTACGGTCTTGAAGTAGGTTCCTTCTGTAGACTATTCTTATGTACCCCCTTTCCTCCCCACCTTTGAACACCAGCCGGCGTTGCGCGTAGTAAGCCGGTTAAATGACCGAATTCAACTCTCACTCCATCAGTTTGCACCCATTTACTACCCATAAATTATTCTGGTAGGCTCGGAGTGCCGAGTGCTTCAGTGATGCTATAACGTTTCTATTTAAAAAGATTTTGATAAAACAGCACAGAGGCTTTCGGATAAATTAACCATGAGTGCCTCTTTGGCTCCCAAGGGCAAACACGACCTTTGCGTCTGGGTTCCTGACAGGCAACTGCCACGGGGCGTGGCTCTCCACAAGACTACAAAGAGTCTACAAGTCCAATAGATAAATCGAGAAAAAAACTGAAAGGTTTGAGATCCGTGTTGGTGTCGAATCAGCGCTTGCCTCGTTGATACTAAAGCTGACGCGCCTGGGCGCCTATGCCGACAGGCTGAAGGTCGTGGCATGATGGGTTGACAACTGACGGCGTAATCCCGTCTTTCTGTGGACTACCCAAAGCCCGGATGGTAATGGCACCGTCTCAATATGATATTGAGATCATCGCTCGCTTCCGTGTCGCCTGCGTTAGCTGGCAACTGAATGAAACCTCAGCCCGTGTACGCAAGCTCGTTCCTAGACAACTTGACGCAGAAGTTCAACTGTGACAAACTGGGATGGTAAAAAGTACATTTAGCAATAAAGGTTAAATGGATGGGAGAAGGAAAAATAATTTTAAAAAAGTAGAGCGTGTAAATGTAGAAAATAATAGGAATAATTACTTAAATAACCAAATATTCACGCGCGCGCTAATTAAGCTAATAAATAGAACCAATAGGAAACCAGATGGTCTACTTACGTAGTAATCGTTTTCTCACATATTTTATATGTACGCTAAAAGTTACATTTAGGGTCCACTACAACTCGCCAAAACCCCATCCTTCTGTAATACGCGACAGGGGGTTATAAGGATTAAATGAGTAGGGTATATCAGGGAAAGAAAAAAAATCAAAAAAGTAGAGCGTGTAAAAGTAGAAAATAATAAATGTAATTGTTTAAATAACCAAAACTTTGCGCGCGATAATCAAAATGAGATGTGCAACCAATAGAACACAAGAAGGTCAAATACAGCCTAATTGAACAAATCATCGACTCTATATCAACTCTACATAAAGGAAGACCGCGCCATACTTGGGGAACAGCCGCTGCCAACTTGGTAAAACAAAGCATGCCCAATACTACGAAGTAAGTGGAAAGTTATGCGAAAAATGAGCCGTAGCGGACCCTAGATGTAACTGTCACCACTGAGGCGTTTTAATATGGCGCGTGCTTCTTACCCTGAGAGTCAAACTGAAATGCCACCTAATGTGGCTTTCCCTACAATTCTTGATCAACAAAGTTCAAGGCGGTTTCTGTCCTTGAAGCTTGGCTTGCGTTCGCGTAGGGTCAGCAGATGTGTGGCATGCGTAGACGTAAGTCCAACTTCCTCGTTCAGCTCTGGGTTTCTTGCTATTGACCTTTCGTTGGGCATCATGGGCGCGGCAGGAGATAGCGAGGTAGACGTTCTGTTAGGACCATCAAGCACCTGATTCGCTTTCGCGTCTCGGATTCCTGGCAGTCCCCCCCCCTCCCTCATCGAGCGCCATTTACGAATAGTCTGTCATTGACATTGAGAGTGTATGCCGGTGGTTCTACAGGCTTTTGAGTAAGCATAAGAATAAGGATTTGCTCTCCCCATCTGTCGCATGTTGCCTGTTGACGTAGGCCATTCAAAGATGGGCATGGATGAACGACAGGGAGGCTTGAATCAAACTTATCTCCACTGCACTCTTCCGCCGATTCACTATGTTAGACCGTAATATGTCTATTTTCGGTCTCGCATTGGAAAATTCTCCTGTCTTTCTCCGATTTTATCCCCACTGCCATGCCCGGGATACTCTGGATACGCCCCTTAAGGGATTAGTTCAGTTCACCGCCCCTCCCCCCTACCAGTCGATTTTTATTATCGCGCTCTGAATAAAAGCCCCTTTCACACCCCAGTGATCTTGATAAGCTCCGGTGGGAACCCCCGTCTCCCCTCTTTTGCAACTGATATCTGCCATCTTGTAAACGCGTTGGGGGGGGAGGGGGGGAGGAGGAGTGAACCACAGAATTCAGTTCTGGATTGAAATTTGCCCAGGCAGGCTAATTAGCCACACGGGGATTACGCGAGCGAAGTAGCCGAATAATCAAGAATCGACCACGATCAAAAAACGTCGTCAAGACATGGCTCGGACGCGGGCTAGTGAGCAAGCCTCGTATCATGTACACCCCCATTCCCCCTCAGCGATGAATGTGACATCTGCTAATTGGACTAAGCACGTGACGATATGGCAGCTACGTCCTTTGAATACGGCACTCGCTGCGCCTTAATCTACGACTGTCTAGGATTAGGCGTTCGAGCGAGAATCCGAACCATCAGTTCAAGAAAACATCATGGTCCAGCAATCGCACTATCTGCTTCTAATAAAGTGGGTTCTGTCGACATTTCAAACGAACGTCCAGACCGGTGCTTGTTATCTTTCTATTCGAAGTTTCACGTAAATCAATTTCTGACATTTCAGCCGGTTTCTTTCTGCGCCTTTTGGACTTATTTTTCTCACAATCCGTCCAACCTTCACACGTCAATCATCTGTCCTACGCTGTTCGAGGAAGAAGGGTGCAGACTGGATTTGAGGGGAGGAGGGGGGGATTAGATACTGGCGTCCACGTGACTGGAGATGTGCTTTGCTGTTGTGGTGGTGGCCTAGTTTCAGGCTGTGTAGGTGTGTAGAGATTCTGACGAACCATCCCCAAATTTCCGAATGAACCCTAGCAGCTCCGTAAACACACAAAACGTATAGACTAGGAGCCCAATCAAAAGAGAGTAAAGTGGGAGCATAAACTTTTAGCTGTAAGTAGGTTGATTGGGGTTTTTTTTCTAGCGAAGAAACCGAAGTACTAAAACTTCCCAGTAGGCGCCTAATAGCAAAACAAGCTCCCTATTTCGAAAAGTCGAGCTCGAATCTAGCTCGTTTTGGCCACCTGTGCGAGCTCGAAACAAGCCCGGAAAAACGAGCTCCAAGCGAGTTCGCGTTATCGCGTTTGTAGCTTGAAAAATCGAATTTAATTTTTCATCCGGACAGGGGTTACCTTCTTTCCTGCCCAAACCCCCATTTTTTTCAAAAGGCAGGGAAATATTCCTTTTTTGAAGACTGTCTGTTTGCTCCCAGAAGCGTACGTCCACCAATTGGTAGCTCGGGGGCAACAGGCTTCAACATTTTGTGGAGTTTTTTTCAGATGTTTTATCGGGCTGTTGGTGCATCTGGCCCAAGACTGCAAAGCATCTTTCAGACTCTGCTCTTGCTCCATCGCTGGGTT